TCTGATTGTATGAACCCAAGTACAGATTCTATGATTTGATTATATTCAATTGAGGTTTGAATGATTGAATGGCATGAATCCTGATCAAATTCCTGTTATTTCTGCTTTAGTCTAGAAAGAGAATATCTGCCTAGGTTGATAAAGCACCCTTAATTGAAGGTAGTGAATTGGCGACTTTAGTCGAGGAGCCAATTCACTATTCTGTACCGAATTTACTTCGGTAGTGGAGGTTTGGTTCGTTAGGGCCTCAATCTGTTTACTCCGGTGGAGGTTAGCCGCCCGCTGGGGACTCAGATTAAGAGGGTCTGGAGACCTTTAGTCGAGACTTCAGACTGCTTAAGAACCTCCTGCAGTATAACTATCATTGAAACTGAACTTGGTAAATTGCAATCCGGCTTAACTGCAGTCTAGTGGGAACCATATCCGGGTGACCTCTCTCGACTTGAAAACAACCGTTTAATTGCTTGCTTGTTTGAACCTGCACTAAAGTTTCACCGCTAAATAATAAGATTTCGCTGAGTAGTCATCACATCTAGGACCCGGGTTGACATTAAAACCCAAACCCGCTATACTACGCTTTAGGAAGTGGTTACACTTGACCATTTTCTAGAGTGACAGTAGGAGCGAGTCAAGTTTTTGGCGCCGTTTCCAGGGACGGTTAGGTTGTTGAAGAAACGTGAATTCTGTTAATTTAGCTTTTCTTTTTCGCATTGTTTGCTTTGTTCCACTTGTGCCTTCACGGGTTTGCTGCTTGACTGTGTGCAGGTAGTGCATGACTCGTAGCCAGTCAGGAGGTTTACTGTTGTTGGATCCGGAGCTTGAACGCACCTGTCGCCAACTCAGGAGACAACAACGGGCTAGACTGGCTACGGAGGAGCGCGTAGACGGCCACTTGAGCAGCGAGTCCGAGGACGAGTACGAGATGGAAGGAGATTTCAATCCACACCAGGGGAATCCTCACCAGGTTTCCCCGGTGAACCAGATCTTGGGGAACAACCCCATACCCCAGGCAGATGGCGTTCATCATCATCCACCGCCACCGGGTCCCACCTTGGAGTACTACTACACTCCACGTATTGCTGATATCCGCCTTGTCATCCTCTACTCGCCCATTCCAGCAAACAACTTCGAGATCAAGCCATGCTGGATTCAACTCATTACATCCTCTATCCAGTTCCATGGCTTGAAGGATGAGGAGGCAAGGGTGCATCTTTCCCGTTTTCTGCAGCTGACAAACAGGTTCAAGCTAAACGGTGTCCCTGATGACGCAATCCGCCTTCACCTCTTCCCCCATTCTCTGGCGGGGAATGCTAAGAGGTGGTTAGAGACCCGGCCCCCACTGTCCATCACTTCTTGGGACAATCTGGCCGACAATTTCGTGCACAGGTACTATCCAGCATCAAAGACCACATAGATCCAGCGAGAGATCACTCACTTCCGCCAAGAGCCTGACGAGTCACTTTGTGATGCATGGGAGCGGTACATGGGATATTTCTGGCAGTGTCCCCATCATGGCTTCAGTGATGCATTCACAGTGGGGGACTTCTACAGTGCTCTCTCTCCGGACAGCCAGAGGGTGATTGAGTCTCTATGCCCAGGAGGGGATATTCTTACTAAGACTCCACCGAACTGAACTAGATGATCAGTACCTTGGCTTCCAGAGATCATTCTTGGGGGCAGAGCACCAGAGGCAGGAATTCCCGGGATCGTGGTGTGCACGCCATGGAGGCCAGGTCCGGGCTCGAGCAGCAAGTGGCCGAGTTAGTGCAGACATTGAAGCAGCCCAACAGTCTTATTCCGGGAAGAGGTTTGGCTACACCTCCAGTAGCTCAATGTTAGTGGTGTGAGAGCTCAAATAATCTGGTGGAAGACTGCCAGGCTATGCGGGAGTCTTCTACTCCCCAAGAGCAGTTAGACTTCATCGCCAATGCTCGGCGCTTTAACCCCTACAACAATTCATACAATGAGGGGTGGCGCCAGCATCCCAACTTTGCTTGGAAGAGCAACACCACTAAGCCATCTGGTTTCCCAGCACCAGCAGGTGGTTTTCAGCAGAGGCAGCCTTTCCAGGCTAGACAGGGGGCCAGTTCCTCAGCAGCAGCCTCAGCGTTAGTATGCCGAGCCAGCAGCAGCTCCGGCTCCAGATAATCAGATGACGGAGCTGAAAAACATTCTAGCGGCATTCATGACTACCAGCCAGGCGAATTTCACGAGGGTGGACCAGAACATAGCCTCACTGGAGGCAGGCCTGAGGAACCAGGGGGCCATTTTGCAAGATTTACAGAACCAGGTTGGTGACATAGCTCGCCAAATGAATACCCGGGCCCCCGGAACTCTACCTGCCACTACCATCCCCAATCCACGGGAGCCGCACCAGCAGCTGAATGCCATCACCACCAGGAGTGGCAAGTCCACATCGGCGGTACCTGTCCAGTCTAGGGAGGAAGAGCCACTGCCTGCTTCAGCATTTCCAGCCGGTGATGTAGAAGTGAGGGTGGAGAAGGAAGCCCCTGCTCCCAAGCCACAACCAGTGGTTAAGGAGCATGTACCCCAGCTTCCCTTCCCCATTTGACTACATAAAGATAAGCTGGAGATTGAGTTTGTCAAGTTCATGGCAATGTTGAAGCATCTCAATGTCAGCATACCCTTCATGGAAGCACTGTCGAAGATGCCCAAGTATGCAAAGTTCATGAAGGATCTCCTCAGCAACAAGAAGAAACTTGGGGATCTTTCGACAGTGATGCTGAGCGAGGAGTGTTCTGCCATCTTGCAGAACAAGGTGCCCGAAAAGCGCAAAGACCCATGGAGTTTCACTATCCCTCTTAATATTAGCAGCATGCATATAGGGAAGTCCTTGGCAGACCTAGGCGCTAGCATAAATGTCACGCATACAATCTGTTTAAAAAGCTAGACCTAGGTGAACTTAGCCCTGCTAGGATGAGCATTCAGTTAGCTGATCGCTCTATTGTGCATCCTAGGGGTATCATAGAGGATCTGCTGGTTAAAGTAGGCGCATTCACGTATCCTGTTGATTTTGTTGTTTTGGATGTAAATGAGGATGTGGATGTGCCTTTGATTATGGGTAGACCATTTCTTGCCACCGCCAAGGCACTTATTGATGTGCATAGTGGTACTGATCTTGCGTGCTGGGAATGAACGGGCTACCTTTTCTGTGGCTGACCCTGATCATTGTGATATGCTTGCTGTCAAACCTATGCATGCTATTTCTCACCAGGTACACGAGCTTGTCGTGTACCCCCCCCCCCTGTGCATCTCGTTTTGCAGGATCCCCCTCTCACGCCTGCGTCGCCACTCCTTCAACCTCACCACCAAACAAAAGGATCAAAGAGGAGTGGCGGCCGAAGCAGCAGGTGGCTAAGCCTGCACGGAAGAAAGGTGGAGACCACTATGAGTTGGTTCCACCTCCTGCACCACGACCACCCTGGCCATCCGAGTACTCACTCGCCTGCATCTTGCCGGATGGCCAGGTCGAGCTGACCGATGCTGGTGGTCGCACGCGTCTGGTGCATGGCCGCAATCTGAAGCTGTACCTCAAGAGCGATGTGGATCCGCTCTTGGAGGCAACTGTTCCTGCACCCCGCTGAGTATCCACCATGGGCGTCCAGCTAAAAGACGGTAAAGAAGCGCTTGTGGGGAGGCAACCTCACCACGGTTTTCGTTTATTCCTTTTGTTTTGGGTCGGATTGTAAACTGGTTTGGTTTTGCTTTGTTTTCTTTTGTTTTGGATGATGTATTATTGGGCTGACAATTGGACCTAAAGGATTGTGTTTGAGTTCTTCTGTTCCCTTTAGCTGTGCTTTGTCCCTGACTGGTCCCCTCTCCAGTCCTCTTCACTCAGACTGGTCCGCTTCCAATCTCATGTAGTCCGTGCACACCGGTAACATCGTTCCCCTTTATCCTTCCCTCTTCTCCATTGAGGGCAATGTCGATCTTAAGTGTGGGGGATGTTTCTCTTTTGACTGCATTAGATCTGTTTGTGTGCTTGGAGCCTAGTCCACTGTCCAAATTTTTAGATTTGAGGGCTCCAAGTACGTGTTTCTTTGCAAATTGCCTGCTCAGTATGCTTTGAATTGACAGTCTTTATAGTAATGTGCAACCTAGGGAGGTAGTGTAGCACTATGGAGGATGTTGAAGCATAAAATTTTTCCTATCTAGCTCTTTGCAGTGCCAGTTGATTTTGTGAATTAGTGGAGCTAGGACCGTTGAATTCATGTGATAATGGTGACTCTATTTGGATTGTGTTATGGACTTGTGTATCGAACATGGTGCTCAAGTGAAAAATGAAATGCAGTTGGTCCTCCATGTCAAAATCTTTAAATCTTAAACATGGGGTAAGCCCAACGTGTGCGGCACCGTTCATTGCACAAAAATCGGGTTTTGGAAGAGATTTTAGTGATCCTTAGTGGGGTACTCCTACAAGGTGAAGCTAAGCCGTCTCTAGTACAAGTAAAACTTCCACCCGTTGAACGGTTTGCCTACTTGAGGATGTGTTTTTAAGGGCATGGATAGAGCTTCCGACCCCCCTTAATTTCATTGACCCTCCACACGAGTTGAGGAAAAGGAGTTAAAAGAAGTACTCTGGCGAGCGCCATATGTACATAAATTGCTCTTGATCGACTAATAAAGGTCGACCGTGCAAAAGACTGCAGTTGGAACCCCCGCTAAGTGAATGGAAAAAAAAGTAAAATGAAAGTGAAAAAGGGGTTCCAACGGTGAAATGAAGTGAAAGAGCACCCCGGTATCGCGAGTCCTTGATTGTGAATGGTGTGAGTCCCTTTATCCATGAACTGACTGTCTTACTTCTACTTCTTTGAGAGAGATAGGGGACGTCTTAGAAGACCAGTTGACCTCGTAAGCTGCGTTATGATCTAGAAAATCCTCTACCGACGATCGGGGTTGTTTGTTGCTATAGAGGTCTGGAGAGTTGCATTGGTTTGAGTTAGGTTTGCTTGGGGACAAGCAAACGGTTAAGTGTGGGGGAATTTGATAACGATGTATTTGCACATGTTTGCACCCTTAGTTCTTATCCGTTTGCGGCTAGTAGTCGTGTATTTTTGGCCCGTTTTACGCCGGGTTGTGCTACTTTTTCATATTTCAGGAGCGAGTCATTAAAACCCAAACCTGCTATACTGCGCTTTAGGAAGTGGTTACACTTGGTCATTTTCTAGAGTGACAGTAGGAGCGAGTCAGGCTGCTCCTCTCCCAACTTATCTTTCTCAAGCTGTACAGACGTTGATTTATCTTCTGTTTTTGGATAGCCTGTGAACTTTGTACTGCCAGATAAATCCGGGGGCTTGTCACTCGACACTGCATCTTCAATATTACTAGTGGTAGTGGGGTCAGCTTGAGCTGCCTCTCCTTCATTATTGGTAGGCTTATTTGCGTGCTTTGTGCTCAGCTTAGTGCCCGCCTGTGATGGACTAGCTTCCCGCTCTCGGTTCACCTTTATAGTCTCGATTCCTTGTCTTCCCATCGAACCTGTCCCATGCACATGTGCTAGTCCTCCCTCTGCATCCATACGTCCTTCTCCCTCCTTCTCTAGGCCTTGGTTACTTTGCCCTGTACCTTTCTCTGGGAGTTGATTATTTTGCTTTATACCTTTCTCTACCCATACTTTCTTATGGGTTATAGTATTGCTAAATGAAGCGTGAGAATTTGTTGCACCCTGGGCCTTTGTGTGGTCTGCTTGCTCCATTGCGGTCATGATCTCCCCGTCCTCTTTGACAAGAACTGCAAAACGAGAGCCCCCCGGCTGGCTTCCCTCATGTGACTGCGGTATCAGAGCCTTCCCCTCGTGGGCCTGTTGCTGTTTGGAGTAGGGTCGTCTTCCTCGTCTTTTAGCCAACATCCATTCACCATATTGTTCCGCATGGGTAGTTTGCCTCCTAGTATCTTCGTGCATGGGTGTCGGGGTACTATCCTCCACGTGGAGGTTCGGGCATCGTGCTTGTGCATGGCCATATCTCCCACAGTGAAAGCAAACATTAGTGAGATCTTCGTATTGATATTCATATGCTATTCCCGCGACTTTGAACTTTGACAGTAGGGCTTCGTGAGATCCACTTCAACACATACCCGGGTGAATTTTTCCCTAGCACCCGACTCCGTTGCTCGATCCAAGCGGATCGGTTTACCCGCATATCTAGCTATACGTAGTGTTGCTTCAGGATGATAGAGTTCGATAGGGAGATCGAGGAGTTGTATCCAGACCATAGTTGACTGAATGGTATTGGTCCTAGGGTTGAAATCCTTGCGCCAAGGGCGCGTAAGGTAGTGATCGCCCAAAATCCATGGACCTCCCGTTAGAGCATGCTCATAGTCCAACTTACTGGTGAATCACACGAAATAATATCCATAGCCCCGGTTTGTCACTTGAATGATGCCCGATTTGGCCCAGAGCATATTCAGCCGCTTCGCTACTACTGGATATGGGAAGGATCGTTCTAACTTCTAACACTTTCACTACAATGGCGGATCGCCATTCCCTCCTGTACTTCCGCCATTCAAAAGCGGAAAAGGGCACTGTAGGGCATAGAGGGTCACTCTCTTCAAACACGGTTTCATCGCTATCTTCGTCTCGCATCGCCTCGGCAGTATCCTCTGAGTCAGAATCCACCACATACGATTCTACCTCGTTCACAGCTTCGCTGAATAGCTTTTTTCCTCCTCCCCACGCCACCGGTTTCTGGGATTGCGCTTTTGGGAGCGGCGCCTCCGAAGGAACGGTACTGTTCGGGCTAGCGTGATGGGATTCTGGGGACTGGCCTTCTTACTCTTCCTCTGTAATGTCTTCTACTATTACAGTATCCATGTCTCTTGCTTCTTCCATCAAGTTCAATGGTCGAACCCTCTTCTTTGGGTGCTGTGTTTCGCGTTCTTTCTTGCCGTCCGGGGACGACGAGATCTCAGGCGGTCTGCGTATACGCAAGGTAGGGTCAGGGGGTTTGGGTTCCCCTCTGTCGGAGGGCAGCGGCGGCGCCGAGTCTATAAGTCTGAAGAATGAAGAACAAGTCGACTGGTTCGACTCAGTCCATATTCTGGTTCATGGGTTTGACTTAGAGGCTGGTTTATGGACTGCTGCTTGAAGAAGCACTCTGCGACGTCGTTGGTACCACCACGACGTCGTCCCACTTATTCCAGTTCATTACTCTTGTTACCGTTGAGCCTGCATACCTGTATAGTTTTTATTGGCTCTTTTCTTTCTTAGTGGAGTTAGTTTACACTGTTAATAGTTAGTTAGCTTTTCTCTTTGTTTGGTTTCTCAGCAGCACTATATAAGCTGCTTGTACATGTTCTTGCCATCTCAATGAAACAGAAAGTTTCTACAAACCCTATTCTTATGGTATCAGAGCTTCGTTCACTCTGCTAGGGTTTCTTTATAAAAAAAATGGCTACTGAAGGAACAGGTGGATCTACTGGTTCTACTTCATCAGGAACCATGTCTACCAATGTCTTAGCTACCAGTTCAACAGATCAACTTGTTCCACAATCCATCGTTTCTGTGAAGTTCAATGGTAAGAACTACAACCTCTGGAGTAGATCTGTTCGTATTGCCTTGAAGACCAGGAAGAGACTTGGTTATGTTGATGGATCTAAACCCCAACCAGCAAATACTGATCCCACATTTGAAGAATGGGATGCCAACAATACTCAGGTACTAGGCTGGCTTTTTAACTCTCTTGATGATAAGATGGCTGATAGTGTACCTAGTACTGAAAATGCTCATCAGATCTGGGAAGATCTGAAGATGAGATATGGTCAGGCTGATGCTGTAAGGCTAGTTGATTTACAGACTTTGATATACTCTTGCCAGCAAGGATCTCTTAGTGTGAACGAGTATTTCACCAAACTCAAGACTCATTGGGAAGAATATATCCAGTATAGGACTATTGTGTCTGTTCCTTGTTCTTTAGCAGATTGTCCTTCTACTGCAGCTTTGAAAATTATGAGGGATTTTCTGAATGATGATTATGTTATGAGATTTATAAAAGGATTGAATGAAAACTATGAGGGTGTTAGAACAAATCTGCTCATGATGAAACCTATGCCAAGTATTGGAGCTGCTTTTAGTTACGTTCTGCAGCATGAAAGACAGCTTGATCCCCAAGGGGTTGGACCTAAAGTTGCTGATAATCTAGCCCTAGCAGTTGATGGTAATAGAGGAAAAGACCAGAGAAGAGGTCAGGTACAAGTTCAAGGCCTGTTTTGCAGGTATTGCAAAAAGGATAATCATGTCAAAGAAGACTGTTGGAAGTTAAAGGCTAAGAACAAAAGGTTAATGGAAGGTGGTTCTGGGAGTCCCTTTGTTGGATCTGTTTCTATTCCAGGAAACACAAGTGGAGGAGAACAGAATACATCTAGATCACAGGGTAGTCAGGAAGAGGAGACTGGATCGTCCAATTTCAGAAATCTGAAACTTAGCAATGAGGACTACAACAGGATAATGAACATTCTGCATCAATCACCACCAGCTTCACCTAATTCCTCCAGACCCTCATCTCCAGGAGTTGCCCCACATGTGAATTCTGTTTCAAGGAATCCTGTAGTTATGACCAACTTTGCAGGCAAGTCAATCCTTACTTCTCATACTAGAAGAAATTCTAATGAGCTGGTTAATGTGTGGATAGTTGACACAGGGGCAACTGATCATATTTCTTGTAATTTAGCCTGTTTCCTATCACATAAAGTCATTCATGATGTCTTTTTAACCCTTCCTAATGGTCAAAAGGCAGAAGCAACACATATTGGTACTGTTAGATTGCCAGGTGGCTTGTTTTTGCATCAAGTCCTCTATGTGCCCAGTTTCACATTCAATCTCCTCTCTGTGAGCAAATTAACCAAAACCTTACCAGTTTCTCTTACCTTCAAATCCTCATTCTGTGAAATCCAGGACCTACTTACCATGAGGAGGATTGGCTTGGCCCATCAAGCTAGAGGTCTATATCAAATGTCCCAAAGTGATGAACCAGTCCCAGATGCCAAAGCCAATATCCATACCATTGCCACAACATACAATTTCACCCAGCAAAACCTTGATCTATGGCATTCAAGACTAGGACATCCTTCATCTTTGAGGCAAAATGTTATCCAGAAAAGTAGTCCAGTAGTTGAGAGATCAGTAGTTGAGCATTGTGAGAGTTGTCATTTTGCCAAACAAAAGAAACTACCTTTTGATTTAAGCATTTCTATTGCTAATGCCCCTTTTAATCTGGTACATGTAGACATATGGGGTCCTCATTCTGTAATGAGTTACAATGGCTATCGTTATTTTCTTACTGTTCTTGATGACAATACTAGATGCTTATGGATCTATTTGATGAAAGCTAAGTCTGAAGCTCGTGGTTTATTGCAAAACTTTTGTATGATGGTGAATGTTCACTTTGATAAGAGAGTCAAAACCATAAGGTCAGATCAGGGAATTGAGTTTCAAATGCCAGACTTCTATGGTCAACAAGGAATACAACATCAAACTTCATGTGTTGAAGTACCACAACAGAATGGAAGAGTGGAAAGGAAGCATCAACATATTCTTAGTGTAGCCAGAGCTTTAAGATTTCAATCTGGACTCTCGTTATCATTTTGGGGAGAGTGTGTTTTACATGCAGTGTTCTTGATTAACAGGCTGCCTTCACTCTTGTTGAACAACCAGACACCTTTTGAGAGGCTTTATGGCAAACTTCCTGATTACAGCATCTTAAGGGTTTTTTGTTGTCTCACTTATGCCGGGACATTGGCTCATGGAAGAAAGAAATTTGAAAGTAGAGATAGACAGTGCTTATTCTTGGGATTCACTTATGGTATGAAAGGATACAAGTTGTTGGACCTGTCAAACCATGCTGTCTTTGTTTCAAGAGATGTTAAGTTCTATGAACAGATCTTACCCTACAGGAAGGACTTTCTCACTCAACCTTTACAGCCTACACATAATATCTCTCAACCTATTACCTTTGATGTTTTTCCAGAATCAAACATCCTTTCACAAAACACAACCAACACCAATACAACCTCTCCATCACAACCAGAACAACCTTCCCCAACCACATCCTTTGAACCTGATCCTGAAGTTGATGAGCTAGAACAGGATACTGTTGAAGAAGAGGAAGAAGTGGTCATTCCTCAAGAATCTGTAGTAGAACCAGCACTGAGGAGATCAGGGAGAACTTCTAAACCTCCTGATTATCTTGTTAAGAACTATAAGACAGATTTGCCAAATCTCAAGCCCTCACACAACAGTCCACATCTTCTTAGCAGTGTTCTATCTCATGATAATCTTACTCCATCCTATAGAGCTTATGCCCTTAGCGTGCTGAACCTGGTTGAACCAAAAACTTATAAAGAAGCCATGCAGTATGCTCATTGGAGAAAGGCAATAGCAGAAGAACTTCAAGCTATGCAGCTCAATCATACTTGGGATATTGTGGACTTACCTCCAGGAAGGAAAGCAGTTGGATTTACATGGGTTTTCAAGATAAAACTCAACCCAAATGGAAGTGTAGAGAGGTACAAAGCAAGACTTGTTGCTAGAGGCTTCACTCAAGTACATGGAATCGATTTTCTTGATACATTCTCTCCTGTAGCTAAAATCAATACAGTGAAAACATTATTAGCAGTGGTAGCTGTTAAGAATTGGCATCTACATCAAATGGACGTAAGCAATGCTTTTCTCCATGGAGACCTTGAAGAAGAAGTATTTATGGAAGTACCATCTGGTTTATCAGTTGCAGAAAATGGACATAAGCAGGTCTGCTTATTAAGAAAATCTCTTTATGGGTTAAAGCAAGCTAGCAGACAATGGTTTGCTAAGCTTACTACCTCTTTGATCAATCTTGGATTCAAACAGTCTCAAGCAGACTACTCCATGTTCACTTGTATTTGTGGAGATTCTATTCTGATCATATTAGTGTATGTTGATGACATTATTGTCACAGGAAATGAATTGGATCAAATTTTAAAGACCAAACAGCAGCTGGCTAAGGAATTCAAAATCAAGGATTTAGGTACATTGAGATACTTTTTGGGATTGGAAATTGCAAGGAGTCCCAAAGGAATCTTTGTTTGCCAGAAGAAGTATTGTCTTGATATGCTAAAGGATGCAGGGTTTCTCAGTTGTAAACCTGCATTAACTCCAATTAACATGAAGACTAGGTTGTCTGCAGGAGCTGGGAATCTATTGGATGATCCTTCACCATATAAAAGGCTGGTAGGAAAGCTTCAATACATCACAACCACCAGACCTGATATTACCTATGTGGTTCAACAACTTTGTCAGTATCAACAAGCTCCAACAGATCAACACTTGCAGGCAGCACACCATGTTTTAAGGTATCTCAAAGCTTACCCCACACAAGGACTATTGTTTCAGTCTAACACTAGTCTGCAGCTTAAGGGGTATACAGATGCTGATTGGGCAGCATGTCCTGATACAAGGAAGTCTCTTTCAGGGTATTGTACATTCCTTGGAAATTCCCTAATTACCTGGAAAACTAAGAAACAGCAGACGGTGTCCAGATCCTCATCTGAGGCAGAATACAGATCCCTGGCACTGCTGTCTTGTGAAATGGTTTGGCTTAAACAATTGCTTTCAGAACTTGGAGTACAACATTCAACTCCAGCAACCTTATTCTGTGACAATCAGTCTGCAATACATATTGCACACAATCCAGTTTTTCATGAAAGAACCAAACATATTGAGGTTGATTGTCATTTGATTCGACAACATATTATTGACAAGATTGTGACGGTGAGCCATGTCCGATCAGAAATACAACTTGCAGATATTTTTACAAAAGGACTAAGCCGTCATCGCCTTCATTTCCTTCTTGTCAAGCTGGGAGTCACCAACATATACACTCCTCAGCTTGAGGGGGCCTCTGAAGAATGAAGAACAAGTCGACTGGTTCGACTCAGTCCATATTCTGGTTCATGGGTTTGACTTAGAGGCTGGTTTATGGATTGCTGCTTGAAGAAGCACTCTGCGACGTCGTTGGTACCACCACGACGTCGTCCCACTTATTCCAGTTCATTACTCTTGTTACCGTTGAGCCTGCATACCTGTATAGTTTTTATTGGCTCTTTTCTTTCTTAGTGGAGTTAGTTTACACTGTTAATAGTTAGTTAGCTTTTCTCTTTGTTTGGTTTCTCAGCA